TCAAATAGAGATGTGAGTGGTGTTGCAGTCTGAAACTTCACCGCTAGATGCCACTAAATCCAAAATAATGGTCCTTTAAGTAAAAATAAATTTAATAAATAAATGTTAGTTTAATTACAAACAATCAGTTATTAGGCTCAATCTATATTTGCATGGAAAAGCCCCTAAATGAAAATAAATCTTGAATTTCCCTCGGGATAAATAAAGTATCTATCTATCTATGACATTAGAAAACATTCAAATTCAATAAATTGTTTTTCAAATTACATGTCTTTTTGCATTGATTCTGATCACTGAGTCTTAAATGTGGCCGTAACAGATCATTAACTTCATTTCCGTTTGACATTTCCAGTGTTTGACACCAAGCTGGGCTGCCGTGACCAAGCATTTCTTGTACCACCCATCTCTCTGCTTTACCCAGTCTGATATTTTTGCATTTATTTATTTTTAATTTTTCTTTTTTTTTAATGAATAAAGTAATTTATTTTATCGTCGTCAGCTAACTACTTCTATAAATCCTGGGGGCTTTTATACATCATCAAAAGATTATTATCTCAATACTGTGCAGTGTTATTATTACAATAGAGGGTGCCGAAAACTCTGATAGTACTTGAATTAAAGTGCATTAATACAAATTTAATTTGAGGATAAACACCATGAGATGCACCATCGTGTTTTCAAAGGGGTCCTCGCAGGCACATGAAAACTAAAACATTTAAACATTTAAAGAAAATTAATACATAAATGCTAGCAGATGATAAATTAAACAATCCAAATGACACCAAACAATCAACAATGTCAAGAATAGACACATAAGCGCTCTCCAACCATCCCAAACAACACACACACTACACCTCCGTTTCAAGTGTCATCTGCACAAAATTAATGAGAAATAAAATAAACACTGCCAGAAAAAATATGTAATATTAATACTGAGTCTGCTCGTGAACTAAAAATGAAGGTAAATACATTCAAAAACAAGAATATTTTGTACATTTGAGGTAAACAAGCAATGAAGTATTGAAGTCATGGAAAGTAATCGATCTGTCTGTTTTAAGTTTAAAGGAGACTTAAAATAAATGCATTTGAAAACAAAAAGCAACTAGTGAAGCTTTGAATTTATTAGACACAGTGTAGCATGGGCAGAAAGTAAATAAGTACATTACAAATACTGTGTTTAAGTATAGTTTTGTGGTAGGAATTACCTTTTTTACTTGAGTATTTCCACTGTATTCTAATCCACTACATATCAGAGGCACTATTGCACTTTTAACTCCACTACCTCCAGCATGAGCAGACGACGCACAGCTGTCAAGTGTTGTTAAATCCTGATTGTTGTATGGAAGTCATCAATCACCTTTTTCTAACTGAGCCCTGCACATAAAGGATTCTGCTTTGTGAAATAACTAAAATTGTTAATTGTTAAAATTGTGTGTTCATGTTGGATCCTGTGGCTCATGGTAAGAGACTAACTGAGCAAATAGAGAGATCAGTGAACCACCACTGAGTACAGCTTACCTTCATGAACTAAGTGTGTCGTCAACAGATATTTACTGCAGTGTGTGGTGGATTAAGATGAGCTTTATCCCGGAAATATAGCCAGTGGAAAATACAAAACAAAAACCCCTTCTTGATCATAGCCCTGGGGCAAATATAGGCCTCCTTTGTCCCATTCTCTGTGTATGTGTTATGTCACCTTCAAGTACCCATCCAGTACAGTACATTAAACAGACTGCACATGGTGGGTTATATTTTGCGTAAAAACCCAGAAACCAATTTATTGCTATGGTAAAATATCTGTGTACAGTCTATTGTATCAATGGCAACTGTTTTGATAATCAAATGATTCTTTTTCAGGTAACGTTTGCTTTTTTTTCTTTTTTGCTTTTCTTTGTCTTCTGCATTAGTGAACTGAATATCTTTCAGTAGTTGGACAAAACAGTTCATTTAAATACATAACCTTGGAATTTTAGGCATTTTTCATACTAATCAGCAGATTAATCAACACTGAGAATCACCATGCTCATTAGTCACAATCCTATAACTGATAAAATAACCCTGATTATAAGTTTTATTTTTTTACCAGAAATGCTTTGTTTCAAACCATAACAATGGATGTGGACCATTAACATGCAGAGAGGGACAAGCAGTTGAATTATTAGAACTGTAGGATCCAATGTTTTTGGACTTTCACCCATATTAGGGACTAAAGGTCAGGTTCTACCATGATGCATCAATTTTGACTATTCCCTTTTCTCCTGCAAGTCCCTGAACTTTATGGAACTGCAATTATAAATCACTTGCCTTTATGCACAAGATTTATTTAGGAATGTTCACCTTTTGGTCACACTATGCAAGTGACATAATGAACGTATCAAAATGAGCTTTTGAAACAACCCCCGCCACAAAGACGGGGCCTTGCTCTCTTCTTTCTTCATTAGTGCTATCCAACCTTTTTGTGTCTGTGTTGATGGAGGATCTATTTTCCTGATTGTATGTGTTTTCGAGAACTAAAAGAGCAAAGCAACCATGTCATTAACCTCGCTTAAGGTCACAACAAATTACCATTACAATGTTGCACTTCTTGACCTTCTAAAAAAACACTATTAGTGTGATGTATGCTAGTTTGTGTCAGGTGTTATACATACATACATACATTTAGTTATATAGGTCATTTCCTCCAACAACACACTATAGGAGTAGCCTATATCTTACGTTCTGTGTTGAAACTCTCATACTTCCCTACTCGGTGCTATCCTGGCACCTCAGAGAGGTTTCCCTCCAACTGTAACATTTTTATTTAATAGTGAAATAGGTCCTCTAAAGAGATCAGACCACTTTTGCATGCTCTTCTCACATGAATTTCAATGAACTGCAGCACTTCAGCAGTGGAAACAGCCTCCTCCCTCAAAAGTGGGCTCCAGAAAAACAAGTTAGAGAACAATTAGAGTAATTTTGTAAAAGGACAAATAAGAGTGCGTTGTGACCGTGAGTGAGAACTAGAATTATAAAATGAGACACTCAAAAAGAAATGGCAGGATCCTTTATTCATTTGTTTTGCTCCCACTTGGCTGTGTGTACCGTATGAAATGTTTCTATTAGTAACCCTGTGTCACACTCCAAGCTCATTATGCGGCCAGATGGGTACAGCGATCA